GTATGCCCACAGCAGCAGTTGATCGGCCAACCCTCGACCCTAGGGTGCTCCTCTCGATTGACTTCTTCTGCAACACACATGTGTGTTGGTGCTCAAAACAGCAATTGGCTTGGCCATTGGTCGGCCAACCTTCACTTGATTTCTTCTGCAACACATGTGTGTATGTGCTCACAGCAGCACTCGGTCTGCCAAAGTTTTTAAGATGATCGAAGCTTCAATTGACTTGTTCTGCACCAGACATGTGTGTATTCAGAAACACAAATGTGTATGCCCACAGCAGCAGTTGGTCGGCCAACCTTGACCCTTTGTGCAATCCAACAATGGACTTCTTCTGCAACAACCATTTCTGTGTGCTCGCCGCAGCAACTAGTGTGCCAAAGCTGTTGAATGTTCAGAACTTTCATACGCAGCTGCATTTCTGGATGGAACTATTCTGCAACACTCATGTGTGCGTTCACAGCAGCTATTGTTCGGCCAACTGTCAGTTCACTTTTTCTGTAACATTTGTGTGTGTGTGTGCTTACAGCGGCACTCGGTCTGCCAATATTTTAGAATGATTAAAGCTTCCATTGACTTGTTTTGCACCAGACATGTGTGTATGCAGAAACACACATGTGCATGCCCACAGAGGCAATTGGTCGGCCAATCCTTGGCCCTTGGGTTGAGGACCTTATTCTGCAACACACACGTGTGTGTTCACAGCTGCAGATGGTCAGTCAATCTTCTGTTGACTTCTTCTGCAAGACATGTGTGAGTTGACTTGTTTTGCATCAAACATGTGTGTGTTTGTGGAAAGACAGGTGTATGCCCACAGAAGCAAGTGGTCGGCCAACCCTTGACCCTTGGGTTCAGAACCTTCACATTGTTCACAGCAGCAGTCCGTCGGCCCACCTTCAGCTGACCTCTTCTGCAGCACATCTGTGTATGTGCTCACAGCAGCAATCGGTCTGCCCAAATTTTTGAAACGATCCAAACTTCAACTGCTTTGTTCTGCACCAGACATTTGTGTGTGTGTATGTCTTCAGAATTACACATGTGTATGCCCACAGCAGCAGTTGGTCGGCCAACCCTGGACCTGACCCTTGGGTGCTACCCTCAGTTGTTTTATTGTGCAACACACGTGTGTGTGTGTGCTCACAGCAGCAACTGGCTTCTTCGTTGCAGTATTTATTCTGCAACACAAACGTGTGTGTTCACAGCTGCATTGGTCGGTCATTTTGTTTTTAGTAACTTCTTCTGCAACACATGTGTGTATTTGCTCACAGCAGCACTCGGTCTGCCAAAGCCTGTAACATGATCGCAGCTTCAATTGATTTGTTCTGCACCAGACATGTGCATATTCAGAAACACACCAGTGTATGCCCACAGCAGCAGTTGGTCGGCCAACAGTCGAATCTTGGGTGCTCCCTTCGATTGACTTCTTCTGCAACACACATGTGTGTTTGTGCTCAGACCAAGAATGGTTTGCCAAAGTTGCTGAGTGCTCAGAACCTGAACTTGACCTTTTCGTTGGGTTAATTTGCAACACACACGTGTGTTCACAGCAGCAATTGGTCGGTCAATCTTCTGTTGACCTCCTTTGCAAACCCATGTGTGTGTGTGTGCTCACAGCAGCGATCGGCCTGCCCAAGTTGTTGTTCTGCACCAGACATGTGTGTATTCAGAAACACACATGTGTATGCCCACAGCAGCAATTGGTCGGCCAGCCCTTGACCCTTTCGCAGCCTAATAATGGAGGGAGTTTTTTTTTGTAACAACCATTTGTGTGTGCTCACCGCAGCAATTGGCCTGCCAAAAAGTTGTTGAATGTTCAGAACCTACACTTAAGTTCATCGTTGGATTTTGCTGCAACACCATGTGTGTGTGTTCACAGCAGCAATTGGCCGGCCAGCCTCAGGTGATCTCTTCGCAAACACATGTGTGTGTGCTCACAGCAGCAGTCGGTCTGCCAAAGTTTCTAAAATGATCCAAGCTTCAATTGACTTGTTCTGCACCAGACACGTGTGTATTCAGGGACACACACATGTGAGTGCCCACAGCAATATCAATAGCTCGGCCAACTTGACTTCTTCTGCAACACACACATGTTTTGCCAAACTTGTTGAAGGTTCAGAACCTTCACATGACTTCTTGATTGGAGTATTCTGCAGCACACCGTGTGTGTGTTCACAGCGACAATTGGTGGGCCAACCCTCAGCTGATTTCTTCTGCAGCACGTGTGTGTGTGTGTGCTCACTGCAGCAGTCAGTCTGCCAAAGTTTTTAAAATGATCGAAGCTTCAATTGATTTGTTCTGCACCGGACATGTGTGCATTCAGAGACACACATGTGTATGCTCACAGCAGCAATTGGTAAGCCAGCCCTTGACGTTTGGGTGCAGCCCTCAATTGATTTCTTGTTCTGCAACACACATGTGTGTGTGCCCACCGCAGCAGTTGTTTTGCCAAAGTCGTTGAATGTTCAGAACCTTGACATGACTTCATTTTTTGAATTATTCTACAACACCATGTGTGTGTGTGTTCACAGCAGCAGTTCGTCGGCCAACATCAGGTGATCTCTTCGGCAAGACATGTGTGTGTGCTCACAGCAGCAGTCGGTCTGCGAAAATTCTTTAAATGAACCAAGCTTCAACTGCCTTTTTCTGGGCCAGACGTGTGACAGCAATTGGTCTGCCCTTGACCCTTGGGTGCTCCCTTCGATTGACTTCTTCTGCAACACACATGTGTGTTTGTGCTCAGACCAAGAATGGTTTGCCAAAGTTGCTGAATGCTCAGAACCTAAACTTGACCTTTTCGTTAGGTTAATTTGCAACACACATGTGTGTTCACAGCAACAATTGGTCGGTCAATCTTCTGTTGGCCTCCTTTGCAAACCCATGTGTGTGTGTGCTCACAGCAGCGATCGGCCTGCCCAAGTTGTTGTTCTGCACCAGACATGTGTGTATTCAGAAACACACATGTGTATGCCCACAGCAGCAATTGGTCGGCCAGCCCTTGAACCTTTCGTGCAACCCAATAATGGAGGGAGTTTTTTTGTAACAACCATTTGTGTGTGCTCACCGCTGCCAAAAGTTGCTGAATGTTCAGAACCTACACTTAACTTCATCGTTGGATTTTGCTGCAACACCATGTGTGTGTGTTCACAGCAGCAATTGGTCGGCCAGTCCAGGTGATCTCTTCGGCAACACATGTGTGTGTGTGTGTGCTCACAGCAGCAGTCGGTCTGCCAAAGTTTCTACAATGATCCAAGCTTCAATTTTCTTGTTCTGCACCAGACACGCGTGTATTCAGGGACACACACATGTGTGTGCCCACAGCAATAGCTCGGCCAACTTGACTTCTTCTGCAACACACACATGTTTTGCCAAACTTGTTGAAGGTTCAGAACCTTCACATGACTTCTTGATTGGAGTATTCTGCAGCACACACGTGTGTGTGTTCACAGCGACAATTGGTGGGCCAAGCCACAGTTAGATTTCTTCTGCAACATGTGTGTGTGTGTGTGGACTCCTCTCGTGCATGAGGTAAGGGGCTCACCGCCCATCGTTTCGCAGGGGCACGGAGGGGGTGCAAGGGAGCTCCGTCCAACGAAGCTTTCCCCTGCACCCTAGGGCCCTAGGGAAAACGTACGTGCATTGCCTACGCCTGGGCCCCGTCGTGGGCAGCTGGCTGATGGGTTGATGGGTTGGATCGGTGTGGTCGGTGTTGGAATGATCGGTGTGTTCGGTGTCGGTGTGGTGTTTGCTGTTTGCTGTCGGGGTCGTTGTCGGTGTCGTTGGTGTCGGTGTCAGCTTCGGTTCCGTCGATGGTCTGGCGGTGTGGTCAGTTCCGGTGTCGCTGTGATTGATGTCGATGCGATCGGTGTCGGTGTGTTCGGTGTCGGTGTGATCGGTGTGGTCGGTGTCGGATTGATCAGTTTGATCGGTTTGATCGGTGTCGGTGTGATGTTTGTTGTTGTAGTCCTTGTCGGTGACGGTGTCGGTGTCGTCGGTGTTTGTGAGTATTGGTGTCGTCGGTGTTTGTGTCGGTGTGGTCGGTGTCGGGCTGGTCAGTGTCGGTGTGATCGGTTTCGGTTTGATCCGTGGCAATGTGATTGGTTTGATCAGCGTGTTTCTGTGGCCAGTGTCGGTGTGATCGGTGTCGGTGTGATTTTTGTGATGGATGTGAACGGTGTAATCGGTGCCGGTGGACCAGTGCGGTCGGTGTGGTTCGTGTGATCGGTGTCAGGTTGATCGGTGTGATCGGTTGAGTCGGTGTGATCGGTGTCGGCATGATCGGTGTGAGCGGCGTGGTCGGTGTCGGTGTGGTGTCTGCTTTCGCGGTTTTTGTTGGTGTCGTTGTCGTCGGTGTCGGTGTCAGTGTCATCGATGTCTTGTTGGTGTGGTCAGCATCGGTGTCGGTGTGATCGGTGTCGATGTGGTCGGTGTCGAAGTGGTCGGTGTGATCGTTGTCGGTGTGGCCAGTGTGGTCGGTGCGGTGAGTTTGTTCGGTGTCGCTGGGTCGTTCTGATCGATTAGATTAGATCGGTGTCGATGTGATGTTTGCTGATGTGGTCTTTGTCGGTGTCGATGTCGGAGTCGTCGTTGTGGTCAGTGTTGGTGCGGTGAGCTTCGGTGTGATCTGACCGGTGTTGTGTTATCGCTTTCAGCGTGGTCGGTGTCACTTCTGGTCGTTGTCGGTGTGTTTGTTTGGCCAGTGTCTGTGTGATCGGTGTCGGTGCGATTCGTGTGATTTTTGTGATCGGTGTTGAATGGTGTAGATTATAATCGTTGTCGGTGTGACCAGTGTGGTCCCTGCGTTTGGTGTGATCGATGTCGGATGATCGGTGTGATGGGTTGATGGGTTGGATCGGTGTGGTCGCTGTTGGAATGATCGGTGTGTTCGGTGTCGGTGTGGTGTTTGCTGTTTGCTGTCGGGGTCTTTGTCGGTGTCGTTGGTGTCGGTGTCGGCTTCGGTTCCGTCGATGTTCTGGCGGTGTGGTCAGTTCCGGTGTCGCTGTGAGTGGCGTCGATGCGATCGGTGTCGGTGTGTTCGGTGTCGGTGTGATCGGTGTGGTCGGTGTCGGATTGATCAGTTTGATCGGTTTGATCGGTGTCGGTGTGATGTTTGTTGTTGTAGTCCTTGTCGGTGACGGTGTCGGTGTCGTCGGTGTTTGTGAGGGTATTGGTGTCGTCGGTGTTTGTGTCGGTGTGGTCGGTGTCGGGCTGGTCAGTGTCGGTGTGATCGGTTTCGGTTTGATCCGTGGCAATGTGATCGGTTTGATCAGCATGTTTCTGTGGCCAGTGTCGGTGTGATCGGTGTCGGTGTGATTTTTGTGATGGATGTGAACGGTGTAATCGGTGCCGGTGGACCAGTGCGGTCGGTGTGGTTCGTGTGATCGGTGTCGGCATGATCGGTGTCGGTGTGGTGTTTGCTCTCGCGGTCTTGTCGGTGTCGTTGTCGTCGGTATCGGTGTCAGTGTCATCGATGTTTTGTTGGTGTGGTCAGCATCGGTGTCGGCGTGACTGGTGTGGTCGATGCGATCGGTGTCGAAGTGGTCGGTGTGACCGTTGTCGGTGTGGCCAGTGTGGTCGGCGCGGTGGGTTTGTTCGGTGTCGGTGTGAAAGGTGTGGTCGATGCGATCGGTGTCGAAGTGGTTGGTGTGATCGTTGTCGGTGTGGCCAGTGTGGTCGGTGCGGTGGGTTTGTTCGGTGTCGGTGTGACATGTGTGGTCGGCGTGATCGCTGTCGGATGGGTTGGTGTGATCGATTAAATCGGTGTCGATGTGATGTTTGCTGATGTTGTCTTTGTCGGTGTCGATGTCGGAGTCGTCGGTGTGGTCAGTGTCGGTGTGGTGAGTTTCGGTGTGATCTGACCGGTGTTGTGGTATCGCCTTCAGTGTGATCGGTGTCACTTGTGGTCGTTGTCGGTGTGATGTTTGTTGTTGTGGTTTTCTTCGGCGTCGATGTTGGTGTCGGTGTCGTCGGTGTTTGTGTCGGTTTCGTCGATGTCGTGTTGGTTTTGTCCGTGTCGGTGTGGTCAGTGTCGGCGTGATCGGTGTCGGTGTGAGTCGATGTGATCCGTGTGATCGATGTGAAGGGTGCGGTCAGTGTCGGTGTGATCGGCATTGGTGTGACCGTTGTGGTTGGTTTGATTTTTGTCGGTGCGATCGATGTCTGTGCAGTCGGTGTCGGTGTGGCGTTTGTTGTTGTGGTGTTGGTCGGCATGTCGTGCGTGTTTGAGTCGGTGTCGTTGATGTCTTTTTGGTGTGGTTGGTGTTGGTGTTGTCATTGTTTTTGTGATTCCTGTCGGTATGTTTGGTGTCGGTGTGTTCGGTGTTTGTGTGACCGGTGTTGGTGTAGCCCGTGGGCGTCGGTGCGGTCGGTGTGGGGTCGGTCGGTCTCGATGTTCTCTGTGCAGGTGGTGTCGGTGGTTTCGTCGTTGGTGTGTCTGTCGCTGGATTCGGTGGTGTTGCTGTGATCGGTGTGTTCGTTGTGTTCTGTATGTCCGTGTGCTCGGTGCAGTCGGTGTCGTTCTGATCGGTGTGACGTTGTAACCGTTCACGTCGCGGCGCCGTCGTGGTGTCTAGCACATGCAGCCACCACTGCCGTCGCCGCACGTATTGTCAACGCCGTCGTTGCCGTATCCGTTGATGCCGTAAGCACGCAGCCACTCAGCCAGAGTTGCTTTCCCCGCGACACACGCAGCTATTGACGCCATATGCGCGCAGCCGGAACAGCCGCATAACGCATGTGGCCGACGAACGCTCTCCTGTTTCGCTGCCGCCTCTGGGTGGCACATGGCGCCGTAGCCGTTGCCACTGCGCAATTGCAGCCGCAGCAAACCCTTGCCGAGACAACCGCGCCCGCCAGACTTTCTTATGTCGAGCCGCCGCCGCTGCTGCGTAGCACGTGCAGCCGCCACTGCGCTCGCCGCACGTAAGATGTAAAGCCTGCAAACGACCCTGCGCTGCCGACGCCGCCACCGTCAACGCTGTCGCCGCCGTCGCTGCTGTAGCTTGTGACGCCGTAAGCACGCAGTCGGACCCACCGCCGTTACGACAGTCGCAGCTGTTGACGCGCGCCGTATGCATGCAGCCGAAGCTACCGCTGCCGTGACAGCCGCTCGACGCAAATGCCTGCCGCTGCTGTGGCGCCGCCGCGCCTGGTGTTTAGCACATGCCGTGACAGCCGCCCTGTGGCCGCCGCTGCTTTTTTTCTTGTCGCCGCCGCTGGGTAGCACATGATAGCACATGCAGCTACCACGTCGTAGCCACACGTACACGCCGCGGACACAGACGGTAGCATTCTAATATCCGGGTGCCGATAAAACCGGTCGTAAAAGGAGATGTTGCTAAGCAAATGTTGGTGAACAATTTGCCACGTGCGGCAAGTGACGTTGGCACCCCGAAAGTAGAACTTGGTGAGCAAAGACAAAAACCTCAAAAGATATCTTTCTGAGTTTTTATACAAATAAACCTGGCGAGGAATTGTTGGTTAGCAAACTCGAATGCATAAAATAAATGAGATGTTGTGGTTGGTGAGGACACTTTGAAGACCGAAGGGTGATGTTGGCTTGGACACCCTAGACCCGCAAAAGGAGATGTTGGTGAACACACCTTGACGATAAATGACCGTGATCAGGCCTGCACGGGAGGTCTCGGTGAGCAAAACCCCAGCCTTAAAAACATGTGTTGGTGCGCAAACCTAACACATTGGCAGGTTAAAAGAAGTGCTTGCCTGTTTTGCTCTTGACGTGAGATTGTGAATATGTGATTCTACGCAAGATTTGCGTGCTTGTGCAATATCCGTTCTTCATCCCGCCATCCTCCATGTTACTGTCACTCTATACAGTGTTGTTTTTTGCTTGCACCCGTGGCCTGTAGCAATTATTTTTGGCAAACCGCCGCTGTGAGCACCGCTTTGCGCTCTTTTGCTTCCCCTCGCACTCGCACTCGCACTTTGACTTGTCCCTGCACAAGGCCGTACTGTGTTCGGTATGGGCAGGATCGATGTGTGCGCATGTATGTGCCTTGTGCCCGAGGAACGATGCGTGCTGCTGTGTTGGTCGTTGTGTCCTTGCTGTTGCTGGCATGGGCTGGGCCCGATGACGAAGGTGCGGCGGTCCTGCTTGTTAACCCCTTGGAGAGCAAGAGCGGTAATGACAGCAACAACGACACCAGCAACACTAAGGCCGACCCCCGGTGCGAGATCTTGGCTACAATCCTTTGACGGGAGAGTGGGACGATAATGGTCCTGGCACAGAACAAGTCGTCGAAGGCGAAGGCCGTTCATGTGTTCTGTCCGTCGCATTCGCACGTAGTATATGACTCTTTGTACACGCCGTATGTTCCATGCTGAAACAGCAAGGTGATTCTCCAGACTTCCCACCCACGGAAGCAGACAACTCGGAGCTTCCCGGCGACATTCCGGATCTGGACTCGCTCTTGTTATCCGAGGACGAAGAAGGAGAGGGTTCCGAAGAAGTTCCAGCCACTCCTGTGCCAGATCTATCGCTGCACCACACCATCACCGAAGCCTTCGCAGCGCTGGACATATCATTTGAGGACTTATGGGCTAAACCCGCCACTGAGTGGAACAAGGTAATTGAGAAAGCTTATCGCTCACAGGCTCTGCGCCAGCACCCGGACCGCAACCCCGGCCGGGCTAAAGAAGCGCATCAGGCCATGATCCATTTAGGAGCTCAGCGGGACGTCCTTCGCGACTTTGTCGACCATTGGACCACAATCCGCCGCTACCTCGGGCGTCATCGGCCTACATGCTTTTGCTCTCTTTGCTGTGAGCTTTGGGGCCGGATGACGCGGTGCAAATTCTGTCTTGGCACCAATAAAAAGCATGGCCACAAAGGTTGTGGTCTGACAAAGGAAGCGTCATACTTCCAGCGGAACCATTTCGCTTGGTACCCTACGTTCTTGCGGCACATAGCGCACGGCGCAGAGGCGGTGGAAGCCAAACGCCGCGTCGATATGGAGCGGCGTCTTCAAGAAGGCCGCGCCAAAACAAAAGCGAAGCTGGAAAAAAAGAGGCGACAGAGAGACGAAGAGGAACAACAGATTCTGTTCGACCAGCGGTTGGCCGAGGCTCTGCAAAAAGCAGAGCAAGAGGTCACAGAGGAGTGGGAAAGGGAACACGGGAAGCCAACTGCACGCGTCGAGGACTGTGTTTCTTTCCGGTATGCCGTAGTCTAATCCGGTATAGGAACTTGTCCCTGCTTGCAGGATCGAGGACCTGGACGATCTCGTGGTGTATCCTCCACTGCGACGCACAGTCAGATCGCTGCAGCTGGACAAGCAGTTCCCCCCGTGCCACCAGCAGCGCCAACGCATCCGTCTGGCCCGGTGTCCTTCCGCCCCCCTGCGGCCTCGGCCTCCCTGCCTGTTCCACCCCTCCGCCGTCCAGCGGCAAATCCTGGTGCTAGCACCAACCCCAACTTTAGACCTCCCCTCCGCCGTCCAGCATCACCGGGTGGTAGCCCGGCCGGAAAAAAACCTAGGCACGGCGGCGATGTCACAGACGACGAGGAGCTGGAGCCGCCGCCGCCCGGTGATGAGCCGTGGAGCGCACCTCCTCAAAGACGCCCTCTTCCCCCGGGCTACACCGTCCCACCTGCGCCGCATTGGCTGGCCCTCAATCGGGCGGGCAAGTGTCACTGGTGTCCGTTTTGCGAACGGACCACGGCACGATGGGAAGCCCGTCTAATGAGAGTTTCTGGAAAAATACTCTGTTGGTTCCGCTGCACGAAGTATCCTGGGTGCGATTTTGCCTGGGACGCGGACCGGGGGCTTCTGCCGCCGAAGGCTCCCGGTAAAAGATCCAGACCCTCCACGGCCAAGAAAGATGAGAGAGATGACGAGGATGGCAAGGACAAGGATGCCGATAAGGACAAGGACGACAACGAGCGCGACGACCTGCCAGAAGCCGACGAGTAGGGTGGCTTGATTTTCCGCTTCTATTTTGCTCGCGCATCTGGAGCCGGTCCCTTTTCACGGCCCGTGGGCGTTAATAGCGCAACACAACATTTCGGAGAAAGATGTCAGCTGTTTGCAATCTGTCACGCCGTCTTGTTCGAAGATATTCCGCAGTGTTGCTTTTTTAAACACACCCACGTGATGAAGCAGCAGTGAAACAATTTGTTTCACACCTCGACATCACGCACACACACACACACACACACTACTTCTTGAGCCTGGCCCATACCTTAGGTTGTGGCTGCTCACTGAGAGTTTGCGCCGGTGGAGCTTCAGTACTTACTTCTAGCGTCGGGTTGTTACATGCAACAACAAATCCCGTCAAAATTGAAGCTCGAGTCAGAGAGATGTTGTGTGCTACTTGCCTTTTCGCATCCACATGACATACAGCACACCAACCACAATTTTCATGGCGAGTATGGCTGTTCGTGTATTGCTTGCGCTTAGCGCTTACATGGCGGAGGAATGCAAATGAAAATAACTATGTGAAATATTGGCCGCATGCCTTCTTAAAAAAAACATGGAAACCGAAATAACCATGCCAAGTATTGCCTACATGCCCTTTGCGCTTGAACGATAAAGAGCAGACAAAACCCAAATAGTCATGTTAAGTATTGCTTACATGCGTTCTGGACCACATGCAACAACCTTGGACAAGAGATTTTCAGCCTGAGAGCTCGCAGTTTGCAAAAAATGCAGGAGGTTTGAACATGAGATTTAGATGTGCTGAGTGCTTGCAATTCCTGACTTGGAAGCGACATGTACAACTTATTTTTTCCGCGCTG